AGCTGAGAACTGGCGACTTTGTAGTACAACTTTAGTACGCGGAGTAGCTGGGGAGTTGGAAGATGAGAACTAGCGATTTGGTAGTACAACTGTAGTACGCGGAGTAGCTGGGGAGTGGGAAGATGAGAACTGGCGACTTGGTAGTACAACTTGAATACGCGGAGTATTTGGGGAGCTGGAAGATGAGCACTGGCGACTTTGTAGTACAACTGTAGTACGCGGAGTAGCTGGGGAGCTGGAAGATGAGAACTGGCGTCTTGGTAGTACAACTTGAGTACGCGGAATATCTGGCGAGTTGGAAGATGAGAACGGGCGACTTGGTAGTAGAATTTTAGTACGCGGAGCAATCTGTGGAGCTGGAAGATGAGAACTGGCGACTTTGTAGTACAATTTTAGTACGTTTCATTCCAGCTTGCTTTTTTCAATGAGATTTCTTCCAGCCGTACACGCTACTTCTCCGCTTACCAGCAACTCATATGCTCATGACGATGAGCTGGGCTATCACCGCTTGGCCGCCGGTGGGGGTTTGGGAGGCCTGCGCGCTACTTCGTTCATCTCCTCTGACAGGCCACTGCTTTGACACACTTGTTGCGTACCTGCCTCGGCACTTTTCTGTCCTCATTCCGGTTCCTTTTTTTTCCGTGAATTTTTCCTGGCGCCGTGCACGCTGCTTCTCCCCTTATCAGCGGCTCAAATGCTCATAACGATGAGCTGAGCTGTCACCGCTTAGCCGCCGGGGGGGGGGTTTGGGAGGCCGCATCGCACACAGACTCATATACACACGGACATAGATACACGCACAGAAACCCACACACTACCTCAACTCACTCGACTTAACACTTCACACTGCACACTTAACAGATAACTCGCACTCTAATTTCCTACGTGATGAAAAATGCTTTCGGGCCACTCGTCGTCTAATTTATTATTTATATTTTATTAATATAGAATAAAAATACATTAATTAAAGAATATATTGATTTAAAAAAAAAATATTACAAATAATATATATTCAATATTATATATTTAATATTAAATTATATTTTATAATAAATATATTATTTTATAATAAATATAAATTAAATATAAATTAATTCAAAAATTTATATTCAATAATTATTATATATATAGGAATTAAATTCTATTATCGATTCATATAATTTATAAATAATATTATCATTAATTAGAATGGATATTTATCACGATCATAAATTTATATTCGATTCATTATTATATTATAAAATCAATATGTTTAAGAACAATATATAATATAATATTATATATATATTTCATAAAAAATATATATTAATATATATATTTATTTATAAGAAAACATCTAAATAAAGGGATCGAACATAATTTATGATATTATGATATTTTCTTTATTAAATTGTATAACGAATTTCTAGCTAAACACATCTATTCTACAGCTAGATGCAATATTTATGCTAGATTCGCGCTAACAAACATTACCAAATTCTAACGTAAATCCTTCCAAGATTAATTAAAAAAAATATTTTCGTTTTAAATATGATTAAAAATTATATATAAATATTATAAATAATAGAATTAAATATATAATAATTATATCTCAAATAATTATATATATTTTTTTAAAATATATATTTATATAAAAATATATTAATTATAATAGATAATTTAAATATTAATATTAAATTATTATTTATCGATAAATAAATAAATAAATTATTAATAATATATTTATATATTATTTATTCTATTATTACATAATTAATTTATTTTATTAAAAATATATTAATCGTATATTAAAATTATATTAAATCCGTATTAATAATTAATATCAAACATTAATATAATCGAATATCAAATATTCAAAAATAGATAATCCTACGTAATATGCGATAAAAAAATATATCGCCTTTAAATTATCCCCAATAATAGTGGAAGTAAAATTCCAAGTCCTTTAATATATAAATAATACCATAATTAACGAAGAAATACGATCAATTCCACGAAATAATAACACGACGCCAAAACGTAATAATAAATTTAAAGATTTTAATATTAATAAATTTAGAAAATTCCTTCGAAAACGGCGATTTCGTCATCGACGAAGACGAAAAAACGATCAAATAGACAATAATAGTGAAAATCGAAGAAATAAATCTTCGGACAAGGTTCTGGAATAGAATAGACGAAATCATAAAAACATATCCGCAAAATCATAATTCAAAAGAATTCAAACATATAACAATATTTTATAAGATATATAATGTATTATGATTTATATATATATATATTATGAACATATATATTCAATGATTTTTTTCCATGCCCGGTCGAAGCTTCAGGGCTTGTCAAAGCACTAAGAGTATCAAAATTGGGCCTTGTGTAGAATGAAGGACAGCGCCCCAAACACCAAATATCACATTTCCCATCAATTCTCTCTAGATGTCCTAATCGGTTGCTTACAGAAATCAGGGGATCATCCAAAACATCAAGTGCAACCACTATTTTCAGACATATATTCTACAATGTTTTAATTTGAAAGCATTGAGATGACCACTTTGCAAGTGTTTGCACGACACTCGCAAATCGTTGGAAACATTTCCGGTCATAAAGAGCACCCCTTTCCCAAAGGATAATTCCCACACTCCAACCAGTGGATTGCATTCCACAAGCCAGTCTCAGGTAAATCTGGTGTGCCCAAACCCTGAAGAAGAAGCGCAATCGTCACACATCACCACCATCCAGCTCCCCAAAAACCCAGATTTCACCATCCACTTTTAAAACAACGCTCAAAAAGGAGGCTCTGAATTCTAAAAGCTGGCTTCTATTGGCTCCTTTCTCCAAGCGTCCAAGTCTGCGCTCACGGCTCCAAGTCTTCTCGGCTCATCCGATCGGATTGGTCGTCCTTCGCTTCCTCAACTGTGCTCAAGAGAGCCGGCATCATGCGCCTCAAGCGGTTGCAAAAGATGGCCAATCCTTCAACCAGCCACGTAAACACTCTCCAACCTCACACGCTATTGAGCTTGAATGAGCCCCTGTCGAAAGAAGAACCTGGTCGAAACATGCCAAAACCCAGTGTTTCGTGGTTCAGGTCCACCACCCAAAAAGAATGGCTCTTTCACATATATATATATATATATAGATATACATTTTTTACTGAGCTTGGTGTGTCATCTGCATGCTCTTGTGAAAAACCTTCGCCGTGGGACGCGACGGGAGCCAGAAGGAACTAGGACAAGTCAGGCAGTGAGGGCCCTTCAAATAAATCATCCATACAATACTCATCATATACAACTAATATCGTACTATCATCGTAATATCATCCATATCGTATCCTGAAAACCACTCCTTCAACTCAGCATTGAGTACTCTTTTGATTGGATGATGTCTTTCGGAATACTTTAAATTTTTAGGCGATGTCTATGAAGAGTTTGTCCAGAACGGAAGTGGCACAGCCTTTTGTACAGCTCAATTCGTGGAGGAAAAGCGGTCAAGAGTCGCAAAGCGGGAGTGTATAGACTAGCGCTCTGGGAAGGGAGGAGTTGCAACAATGAGACGGATGCTTTTTCGATCTTTTTCGGGTGTTCCAAAAGGGGTAGTGTCCAGCCGATGTGCAGGTGTATTTTGAATGATCAAGATGTGAGTGGTAGTACTACTGGCTTCACACACGTGGTACTAAAAACACCTCTTGCCTGCACCTCTTCGGTGAAAAAAGACAGTTAGCCACACACCCGAGGTGTCAAGGTGTCAAGGCAAACATGTTCACATCCCAAGGCAAACATGTTCACATCCCAATCCCAAACACGACCCAAACGGGACTGCCATATATGCCGCCCCATTGACCCCCAGTCAACCACCCCTGGCCGTTTTGAAGGCAGTCCGGACTGGCAGTCCTGTCTGCGTGTCTGGGAGTTGTAAGCACATTGGAGGACTAATTCAACGAACAAAAAGACTTCTCCGCCTCTGTGGACGGGTAGCTTTCTGGCCGGAATCGGCGCTTCGTCTGCAGGAAGCACGGGCAATGACCACCTGGGATGGCAAACGATTGATCGCCAGTAAACCAAAGCAAACCGAAACCATATGTTCCACGTGTTCCATTGTCTAAACATTCACCTGAAGTTTATGCTAGGCCGCTAGGCAACACCGCCAGGCGGTTAGAGGCGAAATCCAGCTGGCAGCAAATAAGACTCTCAGCAGGATGATGTGCAACCTGCAACGTCTGCACAACGGAGGGAGGCTTCAGAGACAAAAAGTGGTGGAGCCATCAGCTGACGTATGCAAATGCAGCTGATGGCTTTCTTGCAACTATATAGGTCCCTGCTGAACATATCTTGCTTCTGCCGAGGTGATTTCTTGTGAGCACGAAAGGATTCGGATAATATATAGCTTCACATCTGAGGAATCAATGTCAAGCAGTGCAAACAAAAAAGCCATGCCACAGGTCCAACATGGTTCAACCAACCTTCCTAGACCTCCCCAGCACCATGCCCGCGCGTACTGTTTGTCAAGGTACTGTTTGTCAAAAGGAGTCCTTCACGTCCGGCACGGCACTGTCAAGGAACGGAACGCCGTGGGTTGTGTGGCCTCCGCTGCAAAGGACGTTTGGAACGCCTCGCGGCTGTTGAGGCGGTCGGTGCGATGGTGTCGTCACGTGTCCTTTTCGGCGAGTTCGTCTCAGTGCATCGATTAAGATCTCTCAAAACTCACCAAAGATGGCTGGGATCTTGATTCAGTTCGGCCTAAGTCGCATGGACGAATGGGGGCACTACAGCATACTCTCCTTTTAACTCCTTTTCAATCGACAACATCATGTGCTGCCGAATCTCCGCCACCAGCCCCGTCGATTCACGTTCAGTGAACCTTGACATCATTGCTGGCCGACCTCTGCGTGCTGGCGCTCGAAGATGAGATCTAAGCAGTGAGTGTTTTCAATGTCTTCCCGGAAGTGATTGTTATACGGGTTGCCAGGGCTAGCAACATGTGGCACAGAAGCTTGGATTTGCTTAAGGAACCTGGAAAATACACAACTTATTCCCCAGAAGGAGGATTTAATCATATAGGGAAAATACAATCACCTTGAAGCAGAACCAGGCAAGGGGGTGGAGGCTGTAAGAGGTGTAAGGCTCAAATGAAGCCATCATATATTGACGTAATTTCAGTGAGCTTGCTCCAACAGACGTGGTTTCACGCTGGATGAGTGAGCACTTTGAGCACATGTGGAATGGGAAAGCAGGATCCAGCAAGGACCAGCCGTCAGAATTAGAGAATGTATTGAAATGATGACACAACAACAGTTAAATCATATACAATAAAGCTTTGATACTTTGAATAATAGCAAGTTATAGAAAAAAGTCTTTGGGGGAAGTATTCGGAGTATCGCACGTCACATACGTTACACTCTTAAGGGGTTTGTAGTCTTCCTCGCTCCCATGGCTGAATGAGAGCGCCATGGGGCCGTTCAACAGCCGCGCCTCCGGTTGGAGTTGGAAATGGCCTCCCAAAGCTTTGTTTCATGTAGAAATCGTCCATCTTGCGCATTGCGCGCTCGGGCGTCCGGCGCCAGGGTCCCCAGCACTTTGGCCAAGAATCCTGCAAACCCATCGAACTCAGTTCAACCTGGGCTTCCTTGGGTATGTCCCAGTGTTCGTCAAGAGAAGTCTGTACAGATTCCACTCCACAAGAATATGCGCTGAAAGTATACCACAAAAAGCTGGAATAGTATGGAATAGTCATCTATTGCGTGAAACCTCTTTCCACGCACTGCACCTCCGTTTCACTCCTAGCTCAATCCGTCCTGGTTCCTCCAAGATCTTCAAGATCTCTTGGTATCTTTTCATGGCCTGACGAGGCCAGGCCACGTCGGCAGAAGACGCTTCTTTTCGTTTGGCATCAGGTCTTTTTTACTTGACAGGCCAATGGCCACTGTCGTATGCCCACCGGCAATGAATCAACGGAGAGGAAAAAGATGCGGTTGTTCCCAAGAATCTCATCACGAGTTCCGTTCCAAGAAATCTCACCACTTTCATCTTTTCAAGCCATATGTACGTGGCCGAATTTCCTTCTAGTAAAAGCGGGCTCTCCTGACCTTCTCGTACTTGAACCCTCCTGGCGCCTACAGTCTCCTTCCTCACCTCACCGTATCCAGCAGCCGGTCATTCGATCCATCACCCCATGGCGCGCGAAGAAGCGGTCGGTCCGTCCGTCTCCGGTTCCCCGCCTCGGGGAAGTAGGCGGCGAACTCCGAGGCCTCGCGGCGCAACCAGACGTTGAGGCAAAGTCGGTCCAGCTCCAAGGCACCCGCGGTGCTACAGCGGGCCACCCAGGCGTAGCCTTGGAGTCAGGTCGTAGCTGTGGGTGTGGTGTAGGTTACTTGGTAGAGGTAGGTTAGGTGTGTGCGTGTGTGGGTGTGTGGAAGAGGTTTGGACCTTTCGGTGATATGGTGTGTGGGTGAAACTCATCCGAGTGGGTTCCAATAGATGGAGGTCTCAAATCGATGGAGGTCTCTGGTTAGTCTTCCAGATATGACCAGTCTTTTTGGCTCATATCCATCTCGGGATGGCTAGCTTCTCCCATTTTGCGCAAGTTGAGTGTTTCCTCGGCAACGGGTTGATTACCGGTTGATCGAACGTCGAAAGCGAGAAGATGTCAGTTCAAAAAACCTGATATCTATAAGCAAATCTGCACCAAATACAGATAATACAGTACTTTCCAACAAACAGAGGTTGAAGAATCCTATAGACTATAGACTATCCACGACTATCCTATATCGGTACCCTAGTATGGTCCTATTTACGGTCACTTTTGTCCCCTCTCTTGCTTGTGACGCTCTGTGACCTCACAGCTTTGGACGAGCAACATGGTTCATCTCCACCGACCAGCATCCGCGCGGAATGCAAGAGCAGGTACTCGCGGCGCTTCCACTTCTGACGGCAGTAGCTGGCATCCCTCACCACGAGCCTGAGCGGCGAAACGCTGAGCACCAATCAGGCTGCCCGGTTTGGGGGGGAGATGTTGTATGCGTAGTATATGCAGTATGTTTTATTGTGCATCGTCTGACAGGTTCATACAGGTTTTAGATGGTTTTAGCTTCAAATGGGCACATGTTCTCTTGGAATCTGTTTCTACTGACTTTTTCATGGACACCTACTCTAGGCACTCTAGGGGTACCGATTTGCTAAACAATGTTCCTCTTCCTTCGGGACGCTGATCACACCAAAATACGGCATTTCCCAGTGACAACCAAATGGTTCTAGCTTCAATAAAGCAATATCATAGTGGCTAACTCCCAAGCAAACCTGTGGCTTCCCGTCCACAACTGCAACCACATGATCTACAAATTATTCGTACACGACTATCACCGACCATCTACTTCCCAGCACAACAGTGGCAGATCGGATGGCCAGGGGCTGTGCGTGCAAAACAAAGTCTGACCGCATGGGTGGGGAACCAGGGGCGTGAACAGGACCATTTAGAAAATTTGCTTTCAGGTCAACGGACATTGTAATCGCCTTTTGAATGCTAGGGTATATATGTATACACCCCCAACTCAGTCCTCAGCGTGCCAAAGTCACCCCTCCGCGAAGCTATGAAAGGACTCCAATAAGCTCTGGCACTCTTGACGACTTCGCACGGTCCAGCGGCGCGGCTTCGGGACGCCGATGTCCACGTCCAATTCCTGCAGAGTCTGCATGTCGCGGGTGCCCAAGTGGTAGAGCTGGGCCTTCGGATAATCCAAGACCACTCCTGGGAAGATGTATAGATCAGGAGGCACCAGATTGGGGATGAATAAACAAAAAATACGGTACCAACCAACAAAAAACACAGGAAACTGAGATATTCGGTTTCCCTCAGTGAGCTGGGGAATGAGATTTGGGTCTTTGGATGCTGGACATCAAGATGTCTCAAAGTATTTTTACCCCACTTAAGGTCACTTGAGTGGAGATTTCTCACAAAGACGCGCAAGGAACTATAATCATCTTTTGTTCCACACATTTTGGTGATGTCCAACAACAACAACAACAACAACAAAAACCTTAAGTTCCAACTCAGATTCGAAACTCCGGATGCACACGCTCGAACATGTAACAACACTTGGGGTCCAGTCGATCATAGTTGAGGCCACTGTTCTTCGCTGCTTCTGCGAAGAGATCGTAATTGGATCGCCCAGTGCAAGCGTATTTCCCGGTCAAAGCACAAACTCTCAGCGTGCGGTTGCTGGCCAAGCGCCAGGTATCCTCAGGGATTCAGGCTTGGAGAAGAGGAAGCAATCAGGCCAATAGGACTCTGAAAACACACTGTAAGTGGAGGTGGAATGAAAAGGATACAGTAAGGTCCTATGCACTGTCATATGCCTATACTATCCTATACTTGTGTCGTTTGGTGTTTCCCTTCCAGTGCATTGATATTTGTTGGTCTTTTGGATTCTTTTGGTTTGTATAAACTATGAACATTCCACAGGATCTGGACCAAACGTCTCCAGTGGGGGCAAAGCCACATATTTGTGTTGCATGCTTTGCAGCGCTTTGTGTTCCAACATTCAATGTGGTCAGTGGTCACCTAATTGTTTCAGCAGGTCTCCCCCCAAAAGGTTCAATTTCATTCAGTCATTCGCCCCATGTTTCTTCCCCTGCTGTTCTTTTCTGCAAGCCCACCCGAAAGGCGGATGAGACAGAAGAAAACCCAGAAAACTGACCGCCCTTTTTTTGACCACGAAACTCATGTGGTTGATGGATCCTTTTTGACCAGGAAGCCTTCGAGAAATCCAACCCCCACCATCAGTTGACCAGTTGCTCTATGCGTCTGTCTGAGACGCGTTTTGGGAGCTGCACCACCGTCACGGGCATCTTTAGAGAGGGGTGGGCACCTGGCCCTATCCTCATCCACTGGACCCTTGTAAGAGGACAGACCTGCCACTGCCGGGCTGTTGATCTATGTTGATCTATCCCCATCGCCTTGTAGAAGAAGAGCTTCATCAAATTGCCATCAATCTTCTCCTCTGCCACTGCCGTGGTCCAGTCGATCTCATCTGTTTGACGCTCAGAATGGTTCCAGAACTTCATGAAGGGCAAACCTCAATGGAGAATTCCCATCTGGTCACACAAAACATCCTCCCGCATGCAAAAAGAATCAAACAGTGAGTGATGTTCGGCTTAAAAAGTTCAATGACAAACTAGCCTCCTTTTGACCAGCTATGACTTGTCTTTGCTCATCTGCTTGCCAGGTCAGCTTTGCAACCTGCACAGCGTCTCACATCGTGGAACTCTACACAGCCTCGACCGAGCTGCACAGCAAACGGCCAGAGGATTTCTCGTAGACGCTGCCTCGATTCGCTTCCAAGACCTGGCGATGTGATTTTGATCTCTGACTTATTTTTTTTCTCCCGACTGAACGAGCCGAAGAGGCTTCGGCATAGCGAAGTCTTCGGGTTCTTGGGAAAAGCTTTCGGATCGGGAGGCATGTGCGAGGCATGTGCCGAGGGGTGCAGGTGCTCCAAAAAACCGAGATTCTGCCCAACCTGAATCCGATTGAATCGCCGACCAAAATGAGTTTTGGGTGTTCTTCGGATATCTTGTGCATTCACCTTCCGCTGCGGATGATCTATATGCACAGGAGAGTACATCAGTCCAACGTTGCCATCGCGGCCATCACTCTTTGATTTCTACACACAAACACAATCTCGAAGGAATCACAGGCCTCTACCTGCGGCAAAGGATTGGAAATACTCAAAACCAGGGACTACCCATGGTTGCCTATACTTCTTGTTCTTGCATATGTCACGGAGTCTGCCGGTCAGATGATCTGAAAATTTCGTGTTAGTGTCCTTCATGACGTGACTCGTCCAGCTATTGATGGACAACTTCTGTACAGGAACTACTGAGTCGGTTTGGTCCATCACATTTCTGTAGATCAAGCTTTTCCCATTCTTCTCTACCAAACCGACTCTGACACACCAAAACCAAACCACAAATTACTCTGACCGCACCATGGACCACACCTTCCGCCACTCGCGTTGCGACCACAAGCTGCTGTCATGTCGAGCGGACACAATGCAAAGATCCTGCAGCAGTCAGACCGAATCAACGTCGCGGGGCAAATTTTGAGATGTATTAGTATAGACATCCAGTGAAGTTCGATACCAATCTGTAGCAAGTTTGGAAATGAAGAAAAAGGAAGACACACCTGTTGTAGATGCTGTAGGATCACCTGTAAATAGGGAGTGTTTGGGAACACTATGGAACAAATAACTCTCAGTCTTTCACTCGGTCTACCAAGTGCTCTACCAACGATCTCTACTCTGTATCTCCTCATCCTCTTCCACGTGGACTTCGTAGTCGCCACACAAGATCCTTTGCTCTTAAGGATCGATCCGCCGACCCATACGACAAAGCAAAGCAAGGATAAGGATCAAAGCGCACATGCAAACAGCACGATCACCGTGGATCGTCATCTGTCAACTGATCATGTCAGAATCTGTCAGAAAAAGCTGACAAGTCAGATATATATGTTGACCAATGATCTCAGCGTTTTTAGATGTTCTGAGCAACGTGAAACCGCTCTCAATGGCTTGAGTATATATTTATAAATATATATATATATTTAATCCCAAAAAAACATGCAAGACCAAACATATAACGCTTCTTATTTCAACACGCTCTTGCTTCCTTTGGTCCAAGGATCTTCTTCACTTCCTCCCATGAGCGATCCTCCCAAAGCTGCTCCACCGGGCATGGCACGTCCTCCCTCGTCTTGGAGCGCGAGCGCGAGCGCGACGTCGCAGAGCGCGAGGTCGCACGCGTGGCCATGTGCCACTCGGGGGGAGGGTCTTCTGAGCTGCCACCATACTCCTCCTTGGAAGTGAATCTGCTCCACGCACTAAGTGATGTTGACTGGTTTGTTCTGCAAACGAGGTAGGTTTGCCGTTTCATTGGGATGCTCTATGAACGAAGGTTTGCCTTGCAAGTCCATTGAACCTACAAATTGCATCAAGTGGCATCAGGTGAATCAAGTGGCAACTATGTTGTCAATCTTTCTTGAGCGGCCACAGTTGTTTGAGCTCACCCAAAAAAAAGAGAAGACAAGACTACCCCCCACAGGTCATTCACCTTATTTTACTGGAGTTGGTCATACAAAAAACACTCCTAAAGTGAGTTTTACATAGTTTTACTGGATCATGCCGGACCTGTTTAGGTCTATAATGGTCTATATAGATCTCTTTTGGCCTTGCCCCCCCCTTGCTCTTCACGCTCTGCATCGATGAAGTCGTCCAAGCTATAGGCAGCTCCGTCCGTGGGATCCACACGCAGCTCCATAGGGGCGTTCCGCCGATGGCCGATGGGCCGATGGTAGGCTGATGGTCCATGAGGTAAAAACTATAGGTCTGTTCTTGGATTTGAGCTGGGAAAGGGGATTCACCTATAGGATGTAAACAAAAGTACTAAGCAACACCAGGTATTTTTTGGTGCGTGGAAATTCCGGAAGACACCGCCCTTAGGATGAGCAACTCAGGGGGGACTCGAAACATCCTTTTTTCGCGGTTCAATGCCTGGTGAGCTTGAGAAACGAGCTGGACAAACCGCTATACGCCGTGTGGAGCAAAGAGGCGCAGCGAGAATCACGTGCAAGGATGAGGATGACCCCTTAAGAAGCTGTTTCCATGGCAGACAGAAACCATTCTTAATTCTTCCATTCATTGAAACTCAGTGGGAAGTCGTTTAAATCCTTTGTCCCAGCACTTGGTGGTGGACAAGCCGGTCATCCTCAACATTCTGACTATATAACCACTTTATGCTGATACCAATTGGGGCCAGTGTAAATTGTGATGAAGGGCCACTCGTGAAAATTGCAGCGCTTGATCCTCGATGACAGGCTGGCAGCACTCATACAACTGCAGAACACCATGGACCTTCATGAACATGTCAAAGAACCTGAAAAACGTAATGAACTAACATATGCGCAACACGAAATTACAGGAGATTCCTGAAGCATCCTGACAGGAACTTCACCCAACACAACAGGCTTGGAAAAAGCACATGTGTATAATACTGTGTAATGCACTGGCAGGGAGCTTTCCCATCAGGACTTGTGACATGCGTATCGTTTTTGTTCGGCGGTACTTTTCACTCGGCCACAGCATCTGTGACATCTCGATCTGCATCTTCCAGCATCGGTGGCTCATGGCCTGTTACAGCGAATTGCACAGTGCCAGGCGCAGGTCGCCCAGGGAATGTGCCCTTTACCCCGATGACTACGGACTTAAGTGACTCACCCCGATGTTGTGACAGTCACTGCATGCATCCTATAGGCAGTCCCTAGGCAAAGTCCTGTGTTTCTCGATGATAACAGTTCTCCAAGTATCTTACTGCCAATGGAACTGCATATTGATGTGGACCAAGTCACTTGACTGATTCAAAGCTGCTCATCAAGAGACGTGAATCCAGTCCAGGAGCCCAGTCCTTTGGCATCTCCAAAGTAGTGCCGCCAGATGCTCTCCCTGGCACAGCACAGCTCCGTTTATGGTATCTATATGTCTATATATATATACATGGTGGTCCCTTTCTTCCAGTGTCGATCAGCATACAAAAATATCAAAGACATGACGAAGAGGGCATATGTCTCTTCCAACCATCATGCTTCACTGCCAAGCAGCTGTGTGGACGACAGGAAATGGCTCAACCTCGGCATTCGCAAGCCATCCAATTGTTGCATTGCATCATGGTCTTGTCAGCACATATGATCAACATCTAATATGTGAGTGTCTATTCCACTATGAACAAGCACTTTGAGATCTTTGGGAGAGCAGCATGTTCTCACATATCTCGTGTCAAGCACCGCACCCTGTAGCAGTCTTCTGTTCATGAACAGTTGGGGATTGAATTGCTAGAGTAAACAAGCTACAGCTGTAGCTATAGCCATCTGTACCCGAAAACACCCAAAGCGCTGCAAGTACCCGCAGACCCTGCTACTTCGATACTGAACGTTGACCAGTCCATGAAATCCGCTAGTTCCACACCCCCCGTCTTCTTCGCAGCTTCGTCTTCCGGTTGGTATTCTTCGCTCCCCAGCTGACTGGGATCGAAAGTCGGCCCAATTGGCACCTGTCCACCACGTTCCAGACATTCAGAGCCAGGAGGAGAAGCACTCGTCTTGCACTCTTACAGCCGAAAAAAGGTCTGTGCCAGTCTTGCACTTCACAACTAGAATCGATGGGGGAAAGCCAAGAGATCAAGGGGAAACAATTGACAATCCGTAAAACCGGTCCGGGAGCTGTGAAGCCGTCACCGGTCTTGCGAAAAATATGTACCATCCTTGTAGGTCAGGGCTAAACCAACTCCTGCAGTAGGTGAGGTAGAGATGACTGATGGTCACTAGTTTTGGACATCCAATTTGGTGCTTCATGGGTTTCATCCAAACAGCGGCCACCACAAGCTCGTTTCGTTCCGTTTCACTTAACACTGTAAATCACCACGACTGGTACAGGAGTTCAGGGGAGTGGGTCCCACCCCTCCGGTAGTGGAGCTTGGCTGTCAAGTAAGCGATAACTAATAGAAAACATCCAACATTAGAACCATCAGTGCTTACCACTCGATGGACTCCACTGAATTGGGCTCGTGGGACTTGGATCCCTTGGATCCTCGTATCTGTGAAAGGTCTCGTCGAAAGAAACTCGCGGACTGGCTCTCGCGATCTCATAGAGGTCTCATGATCCGGGGGGTCAGAGTCGATACGCTAGATCAAGTCTCAAACAAGTCAGTCCAAGAAGACTTGGAAGACCTGCCTTCTTCGCCTTCTTCGGCTTTGCACCTTTCAGCACAAGCTCCTGGGGAGGAACCAGGGAGAAGAAAACCTTTGGTGACATCTCCCTCTCAACGGAATCCCGTCAGAAGCATCTGAAGTCTCAGCGAAACCAAGCGACGTCATGCAGCATGGTGACTCAAGTGCTCACCAGGTCGACGGTCGACCACCTCGTCATGAGGCTTTGACTCCTGAGAATCCTCAGCTGGGTCACAGTCATTCGGAAATGACCAAGTCCCCAGGCCTCTGGGAGCATCTTTGGCTGAGCGACCTTTCAGATTGGATTGGATGGATTGGACAGGCACGGGCGGGAAAGTGTTGCAACATGGGTGGATGGCTGAAGTACACAAAGAACCACAGCACTTCCATCCAACTCAGCATTCAGGCTTCACATGCCCTATAAGAATCTTGACCTTGTTTCAAGAAGGAAATCCAAAAAGGTCAATTCAAGGACTTGAAGATCAAGACCGTTTAAAGCTACCCTTTAAACAACAAAAACACCCAATGCACGTCCAAATCCAACCCGGTCCCGTCTGTACCTGCGAACCCTTGCGGAGGCTGGGCAACGGCACCAAGCCTCAGGGGCCACCCGCTTACCGACCGTTCCCGGATGGTGCACCGGCGAGGTTGGGTTGGACAGGGCGAAGGGATGCGAAGGGCGAAGCAACCAAATCACCATATACACTATTAAGTGACTTCAACCGCACACCAATCACTAGTGATTCATGTATCATAGTGCGAAACCAATCACTTTCAAACAGGCCCAAGTCAGGCATGGTTAATTCTGGTTGGTTGTGATGCCTGTTCCCGAACTACAAATGGCTCTTGTCAACTCTTTCCCTGGGTACCCCGTGAGCTGAAGAGCCTCCTTATCACGGTGTCACTTTCCATGGCAATCTGGCACGGACCGCCTCGCCCGCGACTCGTGGATCTTTGGCAAAAGGATTTAAACACAAACACATAAAAAACATAAACTTAGTCTTGATTTGTAACCGACGGATCAAGGACCTGCCTTTGGATCAACTCGCTCCATGGATGGGGTCTGAAAGCCACGGCGTGATTTTTTGGGTCTTCACCGTGACTCAATCATTGAAATCGACGTGATTTTTGGTACGATTCCTCATGACTCGTCTTCGAGACACAGCCTCCGATGGCCGGGACGGGGGAGGCGCCACGCTCGACGACCGCGACCGACGTCTGGGGGCGACCCACCGCCGCAGTAGGCCTTTCGACAACTTGGGACAGGGCGCCTGCGGAAAAGACAGGAAGTCAAGCGGGGGGGGTCGCGTGCATCCTCCTCCGTGCTGAGGTGTTTTTGGTGGGTGTTGGGGGGTTTTCTGTGGATGTTGTTGTGTTGATAAAATTGATTGTATTTTTTATGTGGATGGTTTGTGGCGTGTTTTTGATGATACTTTTGGCTTTTTCTGTGGATGGGAGCTCTTTAAGTGCACGCGCTCGTTCATGGTTCGCTCGCGTGATCCCTTTCACCCAGGCCTCTCTTCTTTGCGGACCCGAAGCTCCTGTGGAGGGAGACGGCGACGACCGACGGTTGCTGTGTAACGACTTCCCCGTGGAGAACGGGTGACGGACACGGGCCACCCAAACAGGATGATGCAACCTGGAGGCAACAAGCATATCGTAATATTTTTTTTGCATCCCAACTGGGTGCTGTTGGTACATGCCTGTAGAATTCCTTGCCAGCCGAGCCCGGCCTGATCAAAATAACATGACCAGGTAAGGTCTCCAATGTGGGCCGAGTCAAGCTGATGCGGTCCAAAAGGGTCAAACTCTTCCTTGTTTGGCCCTTCCGTTCCAACACCAAGGGGACTTGTTGGACCGCTGGCATTCGACTTGAGAGCTCTCTCAGTGGAGACATCCGAGAAAAATCCTTCTAGAGGTGGAACTCGGCATTTACATCGGAGCTCTCTGCATCCATTGATATCCACGAACCCATTTTAATATATTACTGCAAGTCACTGCAAGTGATCACATCAACTCGTAGCAACATGTGTAGCAATTATGTGGGCGAATGCTAGCACCAAGATATACACACGCATATGATACAAAAAAGACAAAACGTGATTCTCACTACAAAGGATGGCAAACACATACACCAGTTTCCAACACCGGCTCAAAAACAACTTCACTCTCAGGTTTATTTGTGAGATCTACTCACCGCTCTGGTGGATTTCTCACTTTTCATCAAATGCTCGACGAGTTCACGAATGTTCATGAGCTCCTAAGTTCCACACGCAGGTAGCTGCCCCCACACGCACGAACGAACGGTTTCCATGAACGAAACAACTCCGACGGCATGAGCTGTGTCTCGAAGTTTCATGCGGCTTCGGAAACCACTCCGTCTCTGCCGCAACACGCCGAGCCTTCGGAGGTTCAGAGCCTCAGGTCAATGCGGCTGGGGTGCTGCAAGCAGCGTCCGAGGTGGGTGTTCGGGCCAGGATGACCCTGTTCCGAAGGTTCTTTGACCTCACTTGGGAATACAACTCCCTACCAGGTGACCCCACCATGTCTTTTTGAGGTCCAGAGTGTACTCCTATACAGTATACACTACAGTTTCCAGGGCCATGTGCAAGCATATGAAAGCATTGCTGCTTCTTTCACGGCATGTCCACAAATGGCTCGTCAAGGATATCACAAGATGGAGTGGCCCGAATTGAACAACTGCAATGGCTGATCATTTACTTCCTATCCGAAAAAAAGACTAAAACAACACACTAACAAATCTTTTAGGACACCCAATCTACCCATCTCCTAAAAGGTCTAACCGGCGAAACACCGAAGAAACAAACACCCTCAGACATCATCAGACATCCAAATCCACCCGTTTTAGGTCCAAAGCCAACACCATTCGAAGCTCCAAGATGCCAGGAGGAGTGACTGGAGGAGTGCCAGGTAGCTCGACCTGCATCGATGCGTAGCCAGGGCCACCAGGGTGCATCGGTCACTGACGCAAAGCACGAGGATTGAAATCGTCAATCAAGCACCAGGCCCAAACTCACAACAAACCCGTTCACTAATATATTATCTGTAATGATCTGTAATGTAATGTATAAATGTATACATGTAAAATTTATAATATACAATACTCTTGTTTGATCAAAACCCGCCTTTTGGACGATTAAACAGCCTCTTCGTATGGGGGGGTTTGTTGATCAAAAGCTAACAATTCACAATTCTCCATGGTGCTGTAGGGTTCCACTTGACGACACAGGTCTCCTGAAGCCGCTCCACTCATCTTCCCCACCACTTGGGTGGTCTCTCCAACAAAGACGGGGTGCCAGCCTTGTCGTCAAACAAGGTCTTCACATCCAAGCCGAGATCCTCGTGACGAAGGGCCGAAGGCGGCCGAAGGGTCGTCAGGGCCGGGACATGAGAAGCCCAAGTCCTTGATCGAAAGAGAATGTATATCAGCACCCGACTCTACAGGTCTCCTCTTGAGGCTTTTGTAGACTTAAAAGTCGCAGGTGGTGACCTGTTGGAGGGTCCTGGTAGATTCTTGCTGGTTGCAGTGAACATCCAGTAGACCGACATCCAAAAACGACTTTTCTGGTGGAGCCATCGATCTGCAGTGACTCTGCAGCAACTCAAAATATCCCCGGATCTTCATGTCGGGGTGTTCAATGGAGATCCACGTAGTGTAGGGTATGACGGTGCTGGTATGTTGTTTTTTGTTAGCAAAGTCCTTGGATATGAGGAAACAACTGGGACCCATGAACCTGCTGCAAGCACCTCCGATCAGCATCAACCAAGCGTACCTCGATCAGCAATAGGAAGTGGGGTTGATGAACCTTTTGGGGCTTAGTGATGCTTCGTGTGATGTCTTGATGTCTGTGCCGCTCCATTCAATCCAAAGGGTGGGCATACTACGTCTCATTGCTAAACCAACTGCCCCAAAACCAACTAGAGCCAAAACCCAAACACCACCACCGCCACCACCCAAAGGTTGGTTTATAGACCCCGCGTTTTGATGCGTTTTCCATCCAATAATCACCCAACCTGGGTGGTGGTGCTGGCACTTTCAACTCTGACTCGGTGAATTCATCCCAAATTCTCCACTCCAAGGAGCGCCACCTCCGCCCCTCCCTTCTCGGCTGCCCCGACCGGCGCGGACGAGACCCGTCGGATGGGTCGGACCTGTCAGAGAGTCATAGAGCATGTGTTTTTGGCTCTGAAGGTACTGGGGATATAGAGCTTCAGGTGATCGGTCTGAGGCGTGAAAGGGTGGAGCACCGAACGAAGGGCTGGTACAATTTGAATGAATTTGACTCAGAACGCCAAAAGGAAACAGTGTGTTGAACATTTGCTCCACTTGGAGGACATTAGCCAATTTCATGCAGCTTCCATATCAACATCACCGACGAGAACCGGGGAGTTCATTGGGCAAAAGAAATAAGTATGTCGAGTGTGTCTCCAACTATTTTGGAACCTCTCTCTTGACCCGAGAAACTGCTTGCATGGTGATATGTATATATATATATACTAATATACTACCACACCATTATAGTATCATTATAGTCAATGTATAGTCAATGAACCAAGCATGTTGAACATGAAGACCTATGGGCACACTGCAGACGGTGGTTTTCCTCATGTTCCTGGGACAAAGAAAACACCTACAAAAAATACACTGCTCGACTTTATTTACATGATGTCTTCAAGCAATAGTTGATCTAGCTGATGAATGCTGATGATATATTACTACCTGCAACGCAAATGGCAGAATTACATGTTAAAAAAAAAACAATGATAAAGCTCGTGGCACAAACTCGTGTACTAAACCATACTAAACCATACTACACCTACTTGTGTAGGCTTCATGATGCGTAGGGAGAAACCTTGTGGCGCCATCTTCCCAGGCTCCCTGGTCCTCCCAACGGCCAGTCCGACACATCCCGCCTTGGGCAGCACTGGTCCGCTCCGGGGGCGGCCCTGAGCAGAAGCAACGAGCGAGCGAAAACAGGTCGACAATGGATCGTGATCTTGTGAATAAAATGGCTTTAACACTTTGTGTGTTTTGCAAGAGGAAAGTGCTTTGCTACGGAAGATTTAAGCATGGTTGTTCACGATTAGCTCTAAGCCTCTATAGCTCTATATTATAGGAACATTCCACCGTGTTTTCGCCACTCATGCCCGAATTCCTGTGCTCCGCCACATCGCCGCGGTCCAAGCCCAAACCTAGCGTTATGTTGCGGTCCAAGGCACAACGGCCACGTGGCCCTCGGGCACTTGGGACCAGTGCTTGTTGCCCATGGCAGTGGTTTCCATGACCAACTTGTGAATGATCTTTTCGCTCTTGTGCGCCTCAGGAGGTCGGGAGGAGAGCGACGCGAGTCTCAGACTCAGAGTCGGAAAAGACTCAGAGCCAGTCAGAGCGATTTAAAAGCGTTTTGGCTGGGTCTGGGTGAAGCGCCGGAAGAGTGTGGGGTCCTTTTCGCTTCGGGTGAAGCCGGATGGGATTTTAATGGCGGTGGAAGAATGGGGCTGCTGAAGAAGGGCAGTGAGGAAGGTCCATAGAACCCAGCTCATAGGGCAGTGAGGGCAGTGAGTTGACCGCTTTAGAAGTCTATCCACTCACTTCCTTTCAAACCCCCTTGACCCCCAAAACATGGCCCATGCATCATGGTCTCGCTGGCGCCGCCTCAGGTGGTCTTCGCTTCATGCGACGCCTGGATCGGGCCATCGGAAGAATGGAGGCCCTCGATGAATTCATTGGGAGCATGCAGGCCATGGAGGCCATTTTAGAGGTCTCCAATCGAAGCATGGAGCCCATGGAGATCTGGGTAGAACTTGGAACTCGTTGGACCCGACTGAGAGGGCATGGTCTTTTGATGTCTCTTGTGTACTTAAAAATTATGACTGACCGATTCCTCATGATTCTTCCCATCTTCCTCAGTTGGAGATGCTCCATCCGCCTCGTCCGTTCCCGCAGCACGGAGGCGCGCTTCTGCGGATCCTTGAGCGGATCAAGGACGGAGCTGGAAAAGCTCATAATTAAACTTCATGATGTATGCTGGTATTGTAGATCTCGTGTCCCTGCAAGACTTTGGTGATCCATACGTTCCATACGTGGCACTGTGATAGACACGCAGCAGCCCGTCAGCCCGTCGTCGTCGAAATGCACTGATCTGGCTGTGGGTCATGGCACCCAGACCCCTAATCCCGTTGACCTCCCCAAACATAGCGTGTTCATGTTCAGTAGTCAAAGAGGGTCCCCCAGTTTTGACCCAAAGCCATCTGTCACCAGGCCGACGGATTCTCTCATTCTCTCATATTCTCTATCACCATCGCCTTCTCGAGAAAGAGGAGGGAGTCCGTGGTGATGCAGCCACGGGTGTGTTGATCCAACATGGGCCACAAGTTCTGTAGCACCGCCTCCTCGAGAACAGGAAAGGAGCTGATCAAAAAGAAAATCGAGAACTGAGGGTAAAGGCTCCATTGTGATCTTGAGTAGGTAACCAAGGAACTCTAGCTCGTGCGCTTCTACTCAGTTCTACAGTACTCACTTGCCCCATGGGTCCCAGGACTGGTCAACAATGATATCCAATGTCTCACAAACAGTTCTTCATCCACCCAAGTCTTAGCTTCAGTCTACCGCATACTACCGCACCCCCTTTTCACACACCACCATCCTCCAGTCGCCAAAAAGGCAACCCTCCCACAATGCCCAGCTCCCACGGCCGCAGTCGTCGCAGCCGTCGGGTCTCTCCCGCGTTTCCAGCTTCTTCCAGATCGCCTCCTGGCGGTCACGAGCGGCGGGCGGCTGTTTATCCGTCGGCTGCAAGGTTCACGACCAATGAGTTCACCGAGTGAAAGAGTTCACCGAGATGATGGGGTATTTGCGCGGCTTTTTTCTCCGGGGGGCTGAGATTGTGGCCAGGCATGTGCCATTTGGTGAGCGAAAAAGAACTCCTCTTCAGGGTCTGCAGAAAGACTGTGAACATTTCAACTATACAGGTTAGATGGTGCAAAATGTCTTCCTTCAACAGCAGGGCTGCCCCCATGCAGGTTTATCGGGTTTATCTGCTCCTCAGGGTTCTCTTCCCACATCTGACATTCTAGCGATTACACGGATCATAGAACAACATACCCAACCCCGTGTTCGACATGGTTCTCTCATTTTTATAGGTACTGCAGTTACAGGAAACACGACCATGCACCCACGCAAGCAAGCTGATGTGCTGGTCTTCCCTCAATATCAGCTTCCCAGCCGCTTTGGTGAAGACTTAACAACCAACCCTGGCTAAGCTGTTGGGCGGAACTCAGCGACAAACCCTTGTAGTGGAGAACTCTTGTGGGAGTCGCTCAAAAAAATGTATTCATTGCACACAGAGTGAAATGGGCCTGGCCGTGGTTTTGGGAGTCGACTTGGATGACCCTGAAATCCGAAGACGAAACAGGCAACTGAACTCCACTCGTCCGTAAGTTCTTTCTGTGAGTCGGAGTGTATACATTTAAGTGAACATGTCATGTCATTATTGTTTACCCCGAAAAAGCATGTCTCTCTTTCAGGAGGATGTCTCTCTTATGCCCAACGATGGTGAAATCATGTGAAATCACTTTCACAACAACTCTTAATCTTAAAGCCAATCAACATCCATTCGTGTCTTCCATGCCTATCTGTCCATCATGCTTTCAAGCCATATATGGCTCTAAACCTGTCAGAAAACCATGACTCCTGCCGTGGAAGGGCCGGTGAAACAAGGCACCATATCCCCTCCCATCTCATCCGCCGGGACGACGCCATACGCCCAACCAAGCGCCTTCGCCAACACACCGGGAGGATCGAAGAAGCCCAAGCGCTGTAGACCGTCCACAAACTTCTCCGCCCTGGATTGAGGATCATGAAGTATCATGAATGATCCTTTTCCTCAAACACTCCATGGGATTGGAATAGAACCCAAGCTAACATGGCAGTCACATGGAGTGTTTGGGTCATGAGAAAAGGATCATATCGTATTCCGACGAAAGGCCGGCGAAGGAAATTAGAACATCAATTGGGTTGTTTCTCAAATTTCATGTTCAAGGAAGGTTCGATACCCCCATGCTCAGAACAAATACAAAGATTAAACAAACACATGGTTGTCAAAACATGTGCCCTGATTGTATGCCCAACTGCTGTTGGAGTGTGAACCCGTCTTGCGGCTTACAATGCAGTACAGCTTTTCAATCAGTTTGACATTCACAAAGCAGGTGCTTTGAAGTATATCAGTATATCACTTGTTTGCTTGATTCTACCCGAACATGTGCCAACAACCCTGGCATCTCAACCTCCACAGCCTTGACGCCTGAGTTGGCTGGCGCATATGCATTGAACGCACCGCGCGAGGCCGCGAGACGGGTCTGGGGATCGGACGTCAGGGAGTCGCTGCCCTCGAACGCTTGGTCGATGGTGCGGAAGACCTGGCGGACGTGGTCCGACGAGCTGCGGACCTGGGGGTGGACCCGACCTGCCACACGCGTGGCACGGGAGGAGCGTGGCACGGGAGGAGCGACTAGCACCCGTTGGGTGACCTCTTTTGACCAAAGACGACTGTGGGGAGGCTCAGAGTCGACCCAGACCATCTCATGAATGCAAATCATTCATTCCAGCAAGTTCTGATCATCAAGACCAACCAAATCAACTCGTCTTTCTTCACATGATTGCCTGTGCTGTGCCTCAACACGTGCCTCTCTCCCAAGCACCCTGAAACCGGTCGGGCTCCGCGGCGACGCACGGATCCACCCGGAACCCGACGACCGGCTTTCTGCCGCGAGCTGAGCGGAGCGGTTTCGTGCCTCTAACGGACCATCGCGCTCGCCAATGGAGCACCAGACCTCCCAGAAGGAGCGCCGCTCGCGACGTCGCAGGGGACGTCGCACAAACGAGAGCTGCGAAGAGTTCAGACAGCTCGGGGCCCGAGTTCTGATATGTCTTTCATCGAATGAAACAAACATGCCTAGGCTAGGCATCATGATGCATCACGTGTGTCAACACCACGAGTTTTTTAAGTGCAAGCTGGACATGAGAAAACTCAATCAATTGTCTTTGAATGAACCAAACACGAATCAACCTCAAGCCCCCCAAACAAGGCCAAAACCACCAAATACGAGGATCACCGTGATCACTGTTGTTACTTCACGCGCAGGTGGTCGCAACAACTGAGTTGCACGTCCCTTTCTTCTCGGCCTTAAAGGCATTGAGCAGCAAGGCGCTTTCCTTATCCACCGCCTTCAGCCAGGCTCTTCCACTCCCCCCGGAGTGTTCGCCGGACGTTGGTGCCGTGGTGGACAAGACGTGTTGGTGCCAAAGAGGACCCTGAACTCACTAGTCTGGTTTTAGCCCCAAACAGGACCAATGGGACTGGCATGTGTACATTGGGGTGCCTTTTTGGGAGGTGAATGATAGGTAAATATCCCAGACCATGCATGTATGTTACACATGGAATAGTTAATAGTTACATACATTTGGCACATTTATGCCCCCAATCTACAGATAATATATATATATATATATAAAGCATATAAAGTAACTTATTCCATACCCGGATACTGTGGGTATTCGCCATGGCTGCTCTTGGAACCCCCCAAGGATGGCGGCCTCGAACTTCAACTGGGGCGTGGAAGGACCCGCCAGCTCGTGCCAGAGTCGAATCACGTCTCCTGAAGACGAAAGATGTTGAAACGAGTGACGTTAGCACCTGGCGAAGTCGAGGTTAGGAACTCCAAGTCGACGCAGGTTCTTTTTTGGAGTTCCAAGAGTTTTTAAGGGGGGGTCCGAGATTCAGTGAATGGATCTTTTAGTGCACCCAAATTCTCCAGAAGGAGCACCCTGACATACCCTGACCATTCAATTTGTTGGGATTTCTCCAGTGTTCTTCAGCTTGCGCGGTCTCCTGAGAAGTGAAGGCTCACTAAGGCGCCGCAAAAGTCGTCGAACTTCACTTCCTTGGAAAGCGATTCCGGGCACCACCGGCGCAGCACTGTGCAGATCTCAATGCAGTGCATGTGATACAGCAGTGGAATTGAAGCGAACCGCCAACAAGGCAGCAGAGCAGGGGAACAACGATATGTTCATTTAAGGAATGAGTTGCTTTGGTGCGCATCCATTGCGTGGGCATGTCCTCATAGCATAGGTACTGGCCCAACACTTGCATAAAATTGGAATCTGACATGAACGTTACATATTTAAATCCTTATTCACACGACAATGTGAACATCATCATAATATACCCATCCTCTCGACTTTCAACACAACATTTGCAACATATACAATAATCCGCCCCACAGAATGTTGCCAAAAAACACATATATACTAAATATATACATATACACCTAGAGCCCGTTTGACCTCTGTTGTCAAAAGAAAGGATTATATTTCGGGTGGTTCAAAACAGAGGTCACCCAGGTTGTAGGTATACAGTATAACATACAATATACCCAATATATATATATATTATACGTATACTTAATAGACTTGCATATAGAATACATTTTTTAATAGCATAACATAGAACAACATATAACATATCAAACAATATAGAACGACAACAACATATATTAAAATATGTATATAAACAGTATATATGGGTGTATACAATACCACTAACTATAAGATGATCCTGCCACATAACGCTGGGCTCCCCAGGCGTCGTTCTCAAAGAGCCGGCGCCAAGCCACACCCGCCGAGCCGCCTGGAGGGGTCCGCCGGTTGTCATGGGTCGTCATGGGTCAGGGGTTGTGAGTTGTTATAGATGAGCACACGAAGAAAACCAAGACTTATTGGGTTTATTGGACATTTAATGTCAATGAATGGTTCTTAATGAAAAAAAGGGTTCCTAAATGGATTATGGATGGGTTCGTCCATCCATCGTATACCATGTAATTATATGTATTTATGTCCATGATCCATCTGTAACAACCCATGTTCATCAACCACAAATGGATGGATTTAACAAAAATACCAAACATATCCATGGTACAAGGGAACCTCAAGACACATCCATGGTATAGCCAGCAAAAGAACTCGCATAGACTCAATTTGAAGGCATTTCTGGGTCGCTGGATCGGCTTCCTTAAAACTTTTGTTGATAAGCTACTGATCCGTCCAACAGCTTTAAGACGGTGCAATATTCTTTAAAACAAACAATCCAACATAGTCCACCCACGTGGCCCACCAGCCCCTACGCACGTTGCGTGGCCCCGATGCGTCCGTAGACGCGCATTGCCATATTATGCGAAGCTGAGGGGCCACCCAGCTCTCGCAGGCTCAGGAGGAACTTCCCCGCCTCGTTCGAGGCACCGCCGATCAACGCGGGAACTGCCGCACGAACGGGTTCGCCCAGGAGAAAGGACTGAGTTGCCCAGGGGGATGTTAGGGGGCGGAGAGATGTGGAGATCCAAAATGACATGAACACTGACAGAAGGGGATGGCAAATCACCATGGAAGAGTAAGCATGGTCTAGAATGGTAGGGGGGGTGGTGGACCAGTTGGTGGTTTGTGAAGGTTGACATGTAGCTCTAAGTGGCCTACCAATGAAAGCAATGCTGGAATGCTAGGGCAAACCATTCATACCTATGCACACGTGTTTGTTGAGTGTTCGTTTCATGTTGTTTGGAGGGCCCAATAAACTACTATTATGGGTGTAAATCAACTTGGGAGACCTGTCAGTTCGACCCCCCTGGAAGCAGGAACATAGACCAAAAGCTGTTGGTTGAGAAAATCTTCCTATCAAAATGCACGTCCATTCCACCTCATCCAACCTGATGAAGGCGACGCATTCGCCTCAACGGGCATCATCTTCTTGACCTGCGCTTTTCACTTGCGTGTGAGGAACCACCTCTGGAGACAAAAGCAATTGGGAACTGCCATGCAGAAGTGCTCCTGCAGAAACTGTTCCCATCAAAATATCTTTGTCATTTGTACACCTAGAACCTGAGTGACCTCTATATTGAACCACAAACCACCCAAAAATAACCATAATATGGTCCGTTCCTATGGAAATAGAGGTCAACTGAGCTCTAGGCATGAATCATACTGTCTCCAGTTGGCTTAGACGGATGGGTTAGGTCCCAGGCAGGTTGACTCATGGATTGGTTTCCCTCCTTTCGGACCGATGCTTTTACAACGCGCGGTTGGCACACCAAGCCAGTATGGTATAGAAGACAGAACGATATCCACCACATGTCTCAAAGGAAATCCACGGTTTTTCTCTGACTTGATCAAGGGCCATTGGATTTCAGCCAACCAGAAATCTTGTGTGGAGTTCTCATGCTGACCCTGAAGTATTTGAGTTCAGCGAGGAGACTTGGATCATTCACTCTGTTTCCAGTTTTCTTCTGGGTGTGTTTTGACACATACCACATCATACCACGTCACTAACCAGTATTGCAAGACCTTCCATGAACAACCAGCACTAGTTGCCTCAATGTAGGCATAACATGGCCGCACAAGCCTCATGTTCCAAAGACACCCCACCACAAACAAGACACCAAGACCAACTACCTGGCCGACCACACCGGTGATCGCGTTGACCCCGCGTTGACCGCGCCGCGTGCGTTGACCCCGCGTTGACCCCGCGCGCGTTGACCGCGTTGACCGCGCCTTTCGGGTGAGCTGGATTTTCTCTTGTCTTCCTTCAAACCTGCGAGTCCGGACTCGTCACGAGTTCGGTAGAAGGCAGAAGGTTCCACCTACAAATCACCTGGACCTACAAATCAGGGTAGAAGCTCAGGGTTTTCAAGGTTCACCTGGTTCACCTACAAATCACTTACACATCACCTCAGAAGGATTCTTGGGGGGGGGGGGGGCCACCGTCATCCCATACCGTACCACCTCAGCAGCCCATCTCCGTACCTGGCGCGCTTCTGATCGGGTGAGAGATTGGATTCATCCTCGCAGCCGGTCGTCCATCCGATTGTGGTACCCACGCAATGACTGCAGCATCGTGGACACTACACAAAAAATGGTAAACAAAAAAACTAAGAAACTTGAAGAAACTAAGATACATCTGTATCTCAAAAGCCTAAGAATGAGAAACCCTGATTCTCATTGAGCGCCCAGCAGCTGACCCTGTCAATTCCCCATCGCCCTTAATAGTTTGCTTCTAAAACAATCAAGGCTAAACTTTGGGTGTATCCATTACCATTAACAGTGGATGATGGTTAGGTTGCAAAGCTTTCAGAACTTTCCCCAACATGGTCACCATCTTCTACCGACTGCAACTGGTTTACTGGGCCACACCCTACATACCCTATGCATCCCCATAATTACCCTGTGAGGAGGTGATTGAAGACACTTTTATGTAAGTTTGGAGGGTACAGTCGTACCTTCTGAGAAGGTATGAGGAAACTTAGGGATAAATGGACCAACCAAAACTGGATCGCTGCCCTCCGTCACGTCACAGCGTGAGGCGTCCTCCTCCTCTTCAGCGACCACAGGGCCTGCCGTTCTGCCGTTTTCGTGGTCCGACGCCGTTCTGCCGTTTTCGTGGTCCGTATTGGTGACCCCTTCTTCCCGAAGAGGGTTGGGTTTTCGTGGTGTTCTTCTTCTTCTTCTTCGTTTTTTTCTGCCGGCCGCCCGGTGATCCATCTGAGATGACACTCGGCATGAGCCCGGCGCTTTTCGCCCGGGCGTTCGGCGGCATCTTCGGGTCCCCTTGGGCCCCGCGCAGGGCACTTCTTCCTCCACTTCTTCCTCCGGATCTGCATCTGCGGACTCGTCAACTCAGCCGATGGGCCCGATGGCTCGGGATGCGATGAATCGGGAGGAGTGTGGGGCGGAGCGGGTGGCCAAGGGACCATGACTCAAAAGCTCTCAAAAGCTCCACGTCTTCAACTGAAATGGATTGAAGAATTTCATGGAATCATCCTGAATCCAATCAAACCCCACCAATATCATCTATATCTATATTTATATGTCCTTTTAGTTTGTATCAATTGTATCTCGCATCGCAAACATGTACATTACATCAATTTGGACTCCAAATTGAGACTCTGACCGGTGGTCAGGAGCTGACTGAGCAACTCCTCCGCTGTTACGGTGGTCGCCGCCTTGACACCTGGACGGGCGACGCATGGCGACGCGCTCGCCATCGGCTGGATCCGGCCATTTGAGCCCTTGTTACGTTCGTAGCGTCCTTGTTACTACTAGTAAGGCACTTGTTACTAGAAGCGATGAACTTGTTACGTTCGTAGCTTCTTGCTCCGTAGTAATGCCAGGAGCTGCGTTTTCTTCGCGTCCGATCGCTCCGTTTGCAGAGATGCGCTTGTTACTCGATGCCCTAGCGATGCCCTTAAGCTTTTCCTGGAAAAAAGACCCGACCGAACCTTGCATGATATTGATACAGAACGGGTATTAACATGTGTGAACCAGTCAATCATATCATTGCAATTCATTGCACTAAAAGCAGTTTACATCGATTTACAATGCACACCAACATCTGGGTGGTTGAAAAAGGGCTTCAAAGAGTGTGGAGTGAAGCACTTCTGCGGACCTTCACAACAGTTCACCGTGCTGGACCTCTTCCATACAAACTAAAGCATGGAAGTGACGGATTCTCAATGTGCGTCTGAACTTTCCGGATGGCGGACTATCGAATAGTCCAACACAAGTCTTTTTGTAGCAAGGGGGCATTTCAGGTTTGTAGGATGTGGCTTTTAGACCATGCACAGTGCCCGGTTTAAAGACACTGGTGATGGAGAAATCAGCCATGTTTAAGAGAAATCACCGGTGGTTTGTAGCAAACATGCTGATTTGTAGCAAACATGCGTTCAAACATCTGCAAATGTTTAAAACACTGGGATTTCACCATCTAAGCTCCCCAGCTTGCAGGGTCTGGTTGATCTGCTCCAGGTTCAGGAACTCCAGGAACTCAGGGTCCCAAATCGATCCAAACCGGGAACTTTCAGTCCTAAAGAGGTCAGGATGTGGAGTTGGTACTGTCATGTTGAGTGTCATCAGGGTGATGTGGGAGAAGACCAACAAATAAGGGACTTTCGTTGGATCCTGAACAAAAAGAACCAGCATCTATCAGAATCCTTCTGTGGACCGCAAATAAAATGCAGCCACCCATGCTTCTGAAGCAACTTGCATAACCATATAACCGCGTCTTTCGACATGCTCAAACATCTGCAGCCACCAACAAGTCCTCATGAAGGTCTTGCTACCCAACTCACTTCCAAACACCCCGGTTCGTTTTTTTTAGTCGCCCCAAATTGGCTCTGGTGAGCATCATCTCACCTATCCCAAGTCACTACAAAAAGAGCCGCGCCGAGCCCTTCAGAAACCCAACAAGTGATCCAAGCGGGGTCAAATCCAATCCAATCCATGCCATTTTTGCTGTTTCTTCTTTTGCAACTGGCATTCCTCTTCAATGTGAAGTTTGGACATTCCTGACCTTAGGATTCTCCCATGTCCAAGATAGTCCAACCTCTCTGCATCGCCAGAATCCGGCTCCTCAGCTCGGAGCCAGCTTCGGTCTCCTGCGTCTCGGTCGGAACCTGCGGTGTTTCTGCACCTGAGTGGTTTTCGGAACTCGCTCGCTCGCGGCACATTGACTCCATGTCTCCATTAGCTATATTATTAATATTATAGAACTTCCATGTTGCTACTTCCATCATGGAGGGGTCTGTGGCATTTGGAAGCCTTCCGAAAGCAACCTGGTCTCAGGAAGGGGGTCCTTCAAAGCGCCCAGGTCGTTTGCCTTCCAAAGGAGATCGACATGCCGCTCTCGCCGCTTGGGAGAGCAGTCAACTTCAACCTGTTCGACTTCAACCTGTTCGTGGATTCCGGCTGCTTCAAGACTTGGCCGATCGACATGGATCGAATCCGATCGATCGAATCCGCACCGACTTGGACGAAACCCGTTCGCTCCGCACCTTTGACCGTTCCATCTGACTCTCTTGCTGGATCTTCGGCTGCAACTCAGTTCGACAAGGTGGTAAGACTGCGAGGCTCGGACTGAGTTCCAGAGTTGTTCACAACTGCGTTCGCTTCTGCGTACTGTGAAAGTCCACTCAAAGAAATACCAGAGAAGAGGAAATGGGGGCCCGTACCCAGACCTCCCACATTGGTTCTTCCGGATCATTTTCCCTTCAACAGCGGTGGCAGTCCCATGGCATCACAACTTGGCCAGTCGGAGGTTGCAATTCCGCAAGCCTAGAAACTCCTGTCTGGATGTATCACTTCACACCAGATTTCAAGTGATCCAACTGAAGCACTGCTGTGTGTTTTCAATGTTCGTGACTCACCCCAGCGAAATCACATCACTTCACCAGGGAGCCCTAATGGATTTACCATTATTGCTTATTTTACCTACTATTTGTTATTATATGATTTACCTCATCATAATCTATCCCAATAGGGCTCCAGATGGCTCCAGGTACCTCCTCAAAAGGCATTTGGACCCTCCTGGCACCCACCCCAAGCACCTAGGAAGGATGTCCATCCAGCCGCTCAGTACTCCGGGCTTCCAGGCCCTCATCAGCCTGTGGAACGACCTCCACTTGGAGCCGCTCCTCTTCCGGGTGATGACCTGGTTGAGAACAGGCGGAGGTCGGGCGAGCGAGCCATCGACCGGGCCAGCGAGCCATCTGACAGTGGGCATTGGCTTCTTTCAACGTAGGCAATGAGTGAAGCAACACATCCAAAAGATGTACACTAAATGTGCTGTAGCCCAAACATGTTGTAACCCACTGGGCATCCTGACTCAAGAAAAATACCAATCAACCTCTGTCTTCTCCCCCAATTCAAGGCACAAATGTCCGCTTTAAATCCAAAGCGTGGTGATAGATTGCCGACCCTGAACCAACTCAATTGGCTCCTCTTCCCGACTCTTCCCCCCCCAAAAATAGTCTGTCAGGGACTTTGCAACAATTGTAAATCCATGTAAATCGACTTCAACCCAAGGACTCTTCCAGCTGCCAACAGTGGATGGGTGCTAAGCTTCACGCTCTCTGCTTGCGGGTCTTTTGGAGTCTGCTCCGTTGCTGTCCGGCTGTCCTCGTCTTCTTTCACGGCTTCTTCGCGACCTCAGTCAGCTGGCTCAACAGGTCAAGGCAGTGAAAGGTCCACCGGGCTAGGTTATGGTCTCCCGGTTCAATCCGCAGGTGCAACATGGACCGGCGGACAGTGCAAGACATGTTCGATCTACTTTGGAACTTGAAGATGCAAACACGTCTTGGACACATGTTCAGTGCGGAATCGGTCGCGTTTTGGGGGTCATATGAACAAGCTTTTTTGGTCTGGATGTTTCTGGATTCACCGTTTCTGACGCCTTTCCAAATCCATAAGTTTGTAGGGGCCTTGGATTCGCCGAACCTATGACTGTACCCAGAGGGTCGTACGACCCTGATTCTAGGGGTCCTTGCAACGACCTCACTTTTGAACGAACGACCCTGATATGTGTGGTTGCAGTCTTGTGCGTGGCTCACTTGATTTTTTTTAAACAGATTTCATGGAACACAATCAAATGAAACAGTGCTTGAAAGATCTTTAAAGTATCAGGGATGCAACCCACAACTATTCCTGGAACCTTTTCCACCATTTGATGGTAACCTTTGTGCCTTTCAAGCCATGCCATCACTTCAGAAGAGCTTCTCAAAGAGCTGGGAACTCAGAAAAACACCGTCAAGTTAACATATGTTTTCCAAACCATGGCCCAGGAAGAAGGATGAGCACTTGTGGAGGTGCTGCCTCCATTGCCTTCATCTTTTTAGAAAGTATTTTGCATGAGAGCTAAATTCTTATACACTAACACTGGTCGCTCAATCCTCAGCCCGTCAGCCCCAAGTGCTCTGCAGCCCAATTCTTTTTGCATCATCGATCCAACATGGATCCCAATATCCGCAATTTCCTCCTGGAGGCCGGTGCCATGTTATCTTCACATGCATGCTTCAAGGGCAGCAATGCAAATCTAGACCCAGGTAGATAACACCCACTTTTCTTCATTATCGATCGGTCGAGCGACCAGGAGTTCTATGAGGAAAGACTCAGGAATGAAGATTGGGTCACAAAACGCTTTTATGACTTGGCCGTGAAATCTTCGATCCCGAAAAGCAAAGTCCAGCGACGTTTGTCAGCCAGCAAGGCCAGTGATTCCAAACTTACTTGACGCATATGTGCCAACCCACCTTTTTAATGGCATGACTTCGGAAAGCTAAAATGATCACCAGGCACGTTGTACGTTCAGCTTCTGCAACGTTGACAAACACGTTTCGCCGGAGACTGTACGAACCTTATCTCTTAAATTGTCAGCCATTGCACGGATTCCAAATAATGTTCTTCATGTTTGTTCGTCGCTAAGATTCAAGACGATGATGCCAACTACGAGTTCCTTCTTGACTTTTTAGCAAGCTTTGGAGAGCGGCTGCCAAATGCATCAGAAATGAAGGAATCATGGCATTGAATTTTGGAGTTGTGTGGTAGTCCAACATTGATGGTTATATTACATGCGTGCATGTGTTCAGGCAGCGCTGATCAAATCTGCCAAGTCTCGGGGTCAAGCTCTTGTGGTTTACAAGAGCCTAGATGAACTCAAGGACTGCTAATAATATTAATTGGATTTAATTGGTATGCAGGCCCAAGAAATCAAAAGGTGTTATATAATTGCTAGCTAGTGCTGTTTCTTTCTTCAGGACTGGGCCGAAGACGAAACAAAGCTTCAGTTGGGTTTGGCACGGTATATTTGCAGAAGGGCACGCAGAAATGAACACGCGAGGTCAAGCCTTCTTGTCTTAAGCTTGGAAGCGGCTGCCTATCACCGACAATTTTGCCAGGGCCAATGCTGATCGTGTCGAAGAGCTGAAGGGCTTGGTCAGGGAATTCCGAGGCGAGCTCTGACCCAATTTTTGTATGCTCCTGTTCAACCCCCAGTCATGTAGACTACTAGGAGACAAATGGGCACAGTCAACGGCCAAGAGGGCCAAGAAGGACAAGGACAATCTTCCAGAGACTGTTCTAGCTGCAGAAGAAGCTTTGTGCCAGAGTAGCTCAACCGAGTTTGAATCTGAGGGTGATTCAGGTTGCACTGGCCTGCCCCGGACCAGTTCCCTAAACGACACGCAGCCCTATGGTGCTCATGAGAGCCAGGTGATTGAAATTGAGGACAGCCAGCCAGTTGTCCTGCCCAAAGAACCTGCGCCGCCACAGCCCGAAGCACCTGCGCTGCCTCAGGCCGAAGAACCTGCACCGTCTGCGCCGTCTCAGCACGAAGCACCTGCACTGTCTCAGGCCGAAGCACCCGCACTGCCTCAGACCGAAGAACCTGCACCGTCTGCACCGTCTCAGCACGAAGCACCTGCACCGCCTCAGCCCGAAGCACCCGCACTGCCTCAGGCCGAAGAACCTGCACCGTCTGCACTGTCTCGGCCCGAAGCACCTGCACCGCCTCAGCCCGAAGCACCTGCACCGCCTCAGCCCGAAGCACCTGCACTGCCTCAGGCCGCAGAACCTGTTTTGAGTGCACCCAAAACACCGGAGAAAAAACAGCTAGAGGCTATTGAGGAGTGTGAAGAAGGGGCAGAAGCACGTGGCCATGACAAAGAACACTCGGGCTTCCAGGAGCCCAATATTTCAGATACGTTTTTTGCTAGAATTCGATACTCCATGCCATGCCAGTGAAATGCCAGCAGGACCGGCGCCCCCTCTTTCTTGAGATCCCTGAGAATCCAGACATTTGCAAATTGTTCAAGGCCTATGCCGAGCAACATCTGGATAAGGAAGCTGTGGATGCATCAGCTGTGCTTTCCAGGCTTGTGTTGCAGGCGAGGCTGCATGTTGGAGAAATCATGTCCGAATTTGCATGCATGCAGCATGCACGCATGCATGCTTACTTTTTTCCCGTTCAGATGCAAGAAGATGTTCGCAAGGGCATCAACCAACAAGTCAAGGATGCTCAGGCTGAGCTGACTGAGCAGGTAGAGGAAAAACTCAAGAGGGCTGCAGGTAGGGGACGCGGAAAAGGACGAGGTCGAGGTCGAGGTAAAAAGCCAGCAAATGAAGCACCGCAGGCAAGGAACATTCGATGCAGTGTGCACAGGAAAAGTACTAGCAAACACTTTTTCTGTGGCAGGACCTCCCACCGGACGATCCATCTATCCCTGAGGAAGAGGCAGCCAATATTGTTTCAAAACCACGTACTTGATGTGTGCTGAAATGGTTGTCTAGAGATAGAAAAAATATTAATAAACCTTTGTAGTACCATTTGTCCCAGGCCCCCGGCGATGACCGTGATGCCAAGAGCAAGAGCAAGGCTTGGCCCTCATCAGCAGACTTTATACTGTTTGGACCTGAGCACTGAGCCTCACGAGGCTACGAGGAAACGGACTGCATCACCATCAAAGGACGGAGTTGTATCATCCACCCATGCACGTATACTTGCAAGGCTTTAGACAGGGTGCAGATCAGCTTAGAGCAAATCAGCATGCATGGCGTAGTTGTTGGACAGGAGACGTGTAAGAATAAGTCTTCCAAAAAGCAGGCCTGCAAACACTGTCTTCGTTACAATCTTCGCCGACCAGCAATAGGACAGAAACAGTTTCGATGACTGGAAAACACTTTGCCAGGAATCCTCAACGCCAGAGCCAAAGGTCGAGACCGGGGAGAAGTCCAGCAAGGCTCATGGTGGATCAAGTTCAATGAGTCAGGTAGTCCAAATTTACACTCAAATTGACACATGAAAATTAGCTCAAGAGAAACAATTGGCTGGAATTTGGGAGGCCAAAAGATCAAAGCCAGAACCTGAAGAACGTGAGAAGGCTCATCGATGGGATGCTTTTAGTATGCATGATTTAGTGGAAAGTATGAGAGACATTTGCCAGGAGACTGAGAAATCAAATGGCAAAGAGGAGCCGCAGAATGCTCATGCATGTGTGTTTCCCATGACCTGGTTCAGTAGAAATTGAATTTGATTAGTTCCATGGGAGAAGACTTCCAGGACAAGAGTTCAAAGCTGGAAACCGGCGAGGAGCCCAAGAAGGCTCATGCTTTTACCATGTGCGTGTTTAGTCTATTGGACATTCAATTTGTTCATGATGCGATGTATTCAATTTGTTTGTGGTTTCTACCACGGGCATACTACAGTACTAGTACCGGACAATTTGTGGCATCCCATCACGATGTGGAGTCATTCATGGCCCTGGCAGGTCTACAAGCGACCGCAGATGTCACAGGACTTGTTTCGGGTCAAACAAGTCCTGGGCAGGCATGATATAAATTGCAACCGGTATAGTAGTCACCCAGCTTTTATGAGTTCCAGGATGTACGCAACGATCGGATTAACATGCTCAAGGAACTGGACTGTATGATGATCCCTGATGCAGCGTACACTACCCAAGGGTCAGGGCCCCATTTCTGTAAATTTGTGCTCTAGATCGACACCGTATTCCGAGTCAGGTCCTGGACACTTCAACCAGGCGCCAGTGGTAGCAGCTCTTCCTCCTCAGGGGCATCAGCGATCCAAGTGCTTCTAGCAGAAGCTGGTTTCTATGTCAATACGGCAAATGCAGAAGCAGTGACAGCTGTCAATGACACGTACCGCCTGAATGTAAAGGCAGGCATTAGCTTTTACAACTGGGAAATAGTGTCATTGGCTACATGCAGAAACCAGAATAAACAAGAACAGGTTGATGTGTGTGTGTCCTTCTCCACCTTTGTTTGGAGTTCCAGTTCCGCCCTCTCTTGCATGTGGGCCAGGTGAATCGAAGCAAAGGTGGGAGCTCGTTGTCCTGGGGAGTTTTCAAGAATGATGTGAAGACTGCCTGGCAAATTGCTAGGTATGTTGCTGGCTGGGAAAAAATCCCAGTCAAACCTTGAAATGGTCACCCCATATGCTGCATATTCCTCTTGAACGGGGATGCAATTGCTTTTTGACACAAACGAAAAAACACTCATCCAAAAGTAGTGGTGCGATTTTGTATCTCCGAGTCTCTAATATATCTTTCTGTTTCAAAGCATTTGCAGGGGGTTCAGAGGTCTGTGAGACAACCGTGCGATCAGGTGACTACGTTTGAAAAGCATGCGCTGCATGTACTAGATACTAGCTG